ACACACACACACATTAATGCACGTATATACACATATATGCACATACACATATATACATATATATACAGTCTTGTGTGTGTGTGTGTGTATATATACACATTTGAAGAATTAACTTTTAAAAGTATCTTTTGTGGGCGGGTGCAGTGGCTCATGCCTGTAATCCCAGCACTTTGGGAGGCTGAGGCAGGCAGATCACTTGAGGCCAGGAGGTCTTAATGTCAGTATCATCCAGCTCTAACATAGTAAGGCTCTGGGACTTTAAACTTACCATGATCGTTTCCAGGGAGCAAACAGGAATAGTAAAGATTAGTAAAAGCAAACAAAAAAACAGCAGGAAAAAATGGAAGAGTTTTTTTAAAAAGGTGGTAAAGTATGTGAATCATCGGATAGCTTCTGGTTCACATAGTGACAGTTGAAAGTAGCTTTTCCTGGTTAAACTATGTTGTGGTAATGCAGTTACAGGACAACAAAGCAGTGCATGCTGACCACCCTTAGCAGGGAATGTGCTTTCACTCAGCTATTGGACAGTTAAGTCTTTTAGGTCTCCATTTGTATACCTCTTTTTCAGAGATAATTTTGGCTGACTTTCTGGTCTTGATCATATCTTCCTATTTGAGTTGGTTGTAGTGTTCTGTGTTCTTTTCTTTTCTTTTTTTCTTTTCTTTTCTTTTTTTTCTTTTCTTTTTTTTTTTGAGACAGTTTCACTCTTGTTTCCCAGGCTGGAGTGCAGTGGCGTGATCTCAGCTCATTGCAACCTCTTTCTCCCAGGTTCAAGTGATTCTCCTCCCTCAGCCTCCCAAGTAACTGGGACTACAGGCCTGTGCCACCATGCCTGGCTAATTTTATATTTTTAGTAGAGACAGGGTTTCACCATGTTGACCAGGCTGGTCTCAAACTCCTGAACTCAAATGATCTGCCTTCCTCGGCCTTCCAAAGTGGAAGGATTATAGGCATGAACCACCGTGCCTGTCAAGTTCTGTGTTCTTCATAGCATTAAGGTTTGAAATTATATATGTTTGTGGTTATAAAAAAATCATACAATTTCTCTGTACCTTACATTTTTAAGGTAGCTCCAGAGGCAGTGACATTATCTTTCCCCACCCCTCAGCATATGGTGCATAACAAGTATTTAAAACCTACTTGTTAATGAATATATGAGGTATTACTGGTTGGAAGATCATATTCATATATAGTTATAGATTATTCTCTTGCTGCAGTGATGTGTCAAATGGTAGTCTTTTTTTCTGAGACAGGGTCTCGCTCTGTTACCCAGACCTGAGTGCAGTGGTGCAATCTCATCTCACTGCAGCCTCGTCCTTTTGGGATCAAGAAGTCCCACAACCGTAGCCTCCTGAGTAGCTGGGACGAGAGGTGCATGTGCCACCATGCCCAGCTAATTTTTGTATTTTTTGTAGAGGCAAGGGTTTTGCCATGTTGCCCAGGCCCGTCTCGAACTCTTGGACTCAGGTGATCCTCCTGCCTTGGCCTCCCAAAGTGCTGGGATTACAGGCGTGAGTTACCATGCCCGGCCGGTAGTCTTATACTCTTTTTTTTTTTTTTGAGATGGAGTCTCGCTCTGTCACCCAGGCTGGAGTGCAGTGGCCGGATCTCAGCTCACTGCAAGCTCCGTCTCCTG